TCCAGGCCTACTCAGGGCTCTGCCCTGTCTTCACTGGGGAGATGATCCTAGCCTCTGATGGTCCCCTATGAGTTGGGGCATTAGAGATTTGGGCCCAAAATGAACTTGCCCCATTCTTCAGACCATGGTGGGTGGTACTTTCTCTTGGTTTGCCTCTCCATTCTCTGTCTCCCCTCACACCCAATCAACCCAGCACCATCGCCAGGCTCACTGAAGGAGTGGCACTGATAACATCACTGCCCTGATCAGAAACCATCAGTGGCTCCCAGCACCCATCTAAAACAAGGGAGAAAGGGAGGATGGAATTCCAGGTTGGAAAGGTGATAGGAAAAGCCCTGAGCCAGGGGCTGAAATCCTTCAGCAAGGTGGAAAATGTTATGGTCATGTTTAATGGATAAGCTGCATACATAGGAGAAAAGATGTTTTAAAGACTGCCACAGAGAAAAGGAGAATAAGCCGGGATGGAAGAGCAGGAGTCCACAAACCGCAGTGGCTGTGGGAACATCCCATGGAAGGGGAGGAGCAGAGGATGCAGGTGCTCTCAGGGCTCAGCTGGGGGGAAGGGGAAAGTCCAGGAAGAGGCTAAGCATGGAGAAGTGCTTGCTTGCGATGGAATGGGCACTCCTGGCTTTTTGAAATGCCCTTTTCTAAGACTATAGAAAGGGTTGGAGGCTGAGGCTCCTGGGACTGGACCAGAGGAGACTCAAAGTGGGGAGAGCATGAGGAAGCAGGTGATCCCATCGTGGTGGGGTACCTGGCATACCTAGAGATACCTGGGGATGGACAGGTACCTGCAGGGGGTGAGGCAAGGGAATGGAAAGGGCCTAGGAAAGAAGGGGCTGCAGAGAACTAGAAAGATGATGGAATGGAAGGAAAGAGAGGAAAGGAAAGAGGTAAGGGGGAGACTGTCTGTGCCCTTAAGGAGGGTTCCTGTCCACCAGGATCCTGGAGGAGGCACACCTGTGCCCCACCCCTACCCCACATGTAAAGGTACCTGGTACCTCCTGGGCAGTGCTGGAAGACAATGCAGCCCAGACCAGCCCCATAGGACCCCTGGGCCTCAAGAGCCAGGAATGTGAGGGTCTCACCCAACCACAGTCTGAGGGCCCTTCATCCAACCCTCCCAACCCAGTGCAGCTGGTAGAGCTCTGGGGCTGAGCTACCATCCCACACACCTGGCACCATACCTGGCCTTGCTGCCATCGCTCAGGATGTGGAGGCTGCAGCTGCACTGAGAGGGGCAGGAGCCCCAAGCTTGAGGGTGCCCCCCAAGGGCCAGGAGCCACAGCATGCCCACTGCCACTCTCATGGCTCCTGCCTCCTCTGGAGATCAGGCAGGGGTCTGTCCCTGGACTGCTCTGTCCTGTTGGCCCAGCGAGCCTGGCAGCTGCCCACTGGCTCATCAGTGACCACCCCACACCCCCACCTAAGGCCATTGGATAAACACGGACAGGCTGGGGATTAGGGAGAAGAGCCCCAGCCACAGCACTCAGCAGCTTATTGCTTCCTGGGATCACTCGGTTCTGAGGGTGGCAGTGGGGATCGCCTTACATAGCAACAGCCCCGGGCCCAGAGAGGCCAGGGTGCAGCAAGGTAGGGCAGGTGGGCAGCCATCCAGGGGCAAGCCGACCCATGCCAGCCAGGCGGTAGCTGCACAGACCCTGCCAGGATGCCTGGGCTCATAGAAGATGAAGATAAACCCTGGCCTCTGATAAGGGCCACTGGAAATTCTCTCCTGTGACACTATTTTATAGTGAAAAAGCAATGAGATGAAGATAGTGAAGGCATTAGAGTCCAGGCTCCAGGGCTAGGCCAGAGAGGATTCAAATCCCAGCCCTTCATTGACAGTGTGACCTTGCATGAGTCTCTCTTGGCCTCTGTGTCCTCATCTGAAAAGGGCAGTAATGTTACTGCTCAGAGTGTTTGCGAAAATTAACCCACATTTCCCAGACCTTGATAGCCTTTGAGAATGGACTCTGTCTCATGAGTAGTAAGTGCCCAATTTCACTGGTGCTTACAAGCACCTGCTCATGGAAGAGTTGGAAAGATTGCCAGGAGACCTAAGAGGTGCCTCCCATGGGCTCACAATCTCTCCCAGTCTGCCGGGCAGGCAGCTGCTCCATGAACATGCCCAGATCACCAGGCTCAGAGCACTGCCGTCTGAGCCGAGCCCTTCTGGGCATAACCACCAAAGCCAAAGGCATGAGGCATCTCCAGGTGAGGGCAGAGAGCGCTCCCCTCCTCGGGTTATCATTCTCTGGGGGAGAGCCCAGGGTGGGATCACAGAGATCTTGGAGAAGGCACTTTCAGGTTTACTAGTTGGTCCCTACTTCCAACCTCACCCCACAATTGACATCATTTTCACTCATTTGTTCTTCACATTTGACCCCAAATCTTTTCTGTTTGGTCCAGCATGCCCTCCTTGGCTCCTTCAGCTTTTCCAGAAGGTTCCCCAGCCCCTCACACCCATGGCCTAGGCAGGCCAAGACCAGCGGAGTGACCAGGGCAGACACTTGGGTCCCAGTACATACATAATGTGCCTAGCTTTGCACCAGGCCTATTTTGACAACACTGGCTTCTGGGAAATGTTGGTTCCCATCTCTTCCTCTCTTCCAATCCAGCCAGTATGATTTTTCTAAGTGCTTCGCATCTGTACCTTCCTCCCCAAACCAAAAGACTAGCCCTGCCCATTTCCATATCTCTGCCTTTTCCTCCTTCTGCTGAGAATGCCTTCCTTTCTCTCTTTTCCTAACTGAATTCCACCCTTGATTCTCAGCCCTGTCCTGTTTCCTCATCTCCCTTGAAGTCTTTTGCAATCTTGAAGGTATGAAAAGAACCTGACTATATGTATTAACCAGTAATGCAAGATAAAAATTGGGAAAACAGTAACTGACTTATCAAGGGAGGCTTCCAGGAGGATGTGGACCATTAGCCCAGTCCTGTGAGGTGGTCAAGCTTGTATACATGGGGATGACAGAGGAAAGTCATGGGAAATGAACATTTATGAAATAGAATGAGCTGCTTGACCAGGGGCCCAGGGGACAGGTGATGGGCTTTTGTTCCAGCTCCATCCCTGAATTATTGTGTGACTTCAGGCTGATTCTTAACTGCTTTAAATCTCAGGTTCCTCATGTGAAATAGAAGGGATGATGGTACCTTTCATGGAGCTGTTATAGGAATCATCGTAAGATCAGTTAGCACAGTGCCTGGCCCTTAGTGAGCACTCATTAACATTAGCTCTGTGGCTGACAGTGCTCTGGACCTTGGTTTCTTTATCTGGAAGTGAGTTATGTTGCTCTAGGTTAGTGTTTCCTGATGTAAACTGCACCATCATCCTGTGCATAACTTGTAGCAGGACCTCACTGTAGAACCCAAAGCTCTTAGTGGATAGTAGGGTCACTTTCAAGAGGGCAGCAGCCCCTCTGTCCCAAGCCAGTGCCTGGGAGATTTGTGTGCTTGTGTCACTGAAGTGCTCTGCAGAGGTCAGGAGGTGCAGCCCTAAGGCTGTATCCATGAGGTATTCTTCTAACCAAGACCTGTACAGGCCAGAGAGAAGGATGCTTACATTGCAAAGAAGGACACTGAGAAGGCCCCAGTGCCATCCCAGGGCACATAGCGGGACCAGTCTCTAGTCTCAGTCAGGGTTCTTTCTATGACAGCAGATGACTTTCCAACCATCCTCCTTTCCCCATCACTTGTGAGTATACACATGAGAGCACGTGGACACACACACACACATGCAATTAGCCTCTCAGTGAGGATGTGGACCATTAGCCCAGTCCTGTGAGGTGGTCAAGCTTGTATACATGGGGATGACAGAGGAAAGTCATGGGAAATGAACATTTATGAAATAGAATGAGCTGCTTGACCAGGGGCCCAGGGGACAGGTGATGGGCTTTTGTTCCAGCTCCATCCCTGAATTATTGTGTGACTTCAGGCTGATTCTTAACTGCTTTAAATCTCAGGTTCCTCATGTGAAATAGAAGGGATGATGGTACCTTTCATGGAGCTGTTATAGGAATCATCGTAAGATCAGTTAGCACAGTGCCTGGCCCTTAGTGAGCACTCATTAACATTAGCTCTGTGGCTGACAGTGCTCTGGACCTTGGTTTCTTTATCTGGAAGTGAGTTATGTTGCTCTAGGTTAGTGTTTCCTGATGTAAACTGCACCATCATCCTGTGCATAACTTGTAGCAGGACCTCACTGTAGAACCCAAAGCTCTTAGTGGATAGTAGGGTCACTTTCAAGAGGGCAGCAGCCCCTCTGTCCCAAGCCAGTGCCTGGGAGATTTGTGTGCTTGTGTCACTGAAGTGCTCTGCAGAGGTCAGGAGGTGCAGCCCTAAGGCTGTATCCATGAGGTATTCTTCTAACCAAGACCTGTACAGGCCAGAGAGAAGGATGCTTACATTGCAAAGAAGGACACTGAGAAGGCCCCAGTGCCATCCCAGGGCACATAGCGGGACCAGTCTCTAGTCTCAGTCAGGGTTCTTTCTATGACAGCAGATGACTTTCCAACCATCCTCCTTTCCCCATCACTTGTGAGTATACACATGAGAGCACGTGGACACACACACACACATGCAATTAGCCTCTCAGCTTGTCAGCACCTGCAAACAGGGACGGTCGTGGCTCCTAACCAATCCACAGTAACAGCTGCAGCTCAAATCCCTCCTCCCCGCCTCCCTCAGTTACGCAACTCTTCTAATTCGTCTCTCAGACGCACACCGTTTGGATCTGGGATCTTAATCCTGCCTGGTAAGGCTGAAATGAATGAGACAGGGCTCCATTCTGGCTTCACAAAGGCTACACTGTCCAACTTGTGAAGGGGTTCCTTCTGCTTAGGCCAAAAGCACAACTTAGAGGTAGGGGCAGGCAGCAAGGAGATCAAGGTCTCGCATAATCACCTGCATGTGCCAGCACGTGGACTGGCCTTTTAAAAGGGAGGAGCCTGGCTCTGGAGCACCAGAGAAGACTGGGCTGGCAGGGAGAAAGGCCGAGGATGGAAGAGTCTGGGTCCCTGCCCACAGGCTTCGGGGAGCTGGAGGTGCTGGCTGTGGGGACGTTGCTGCTGGTGGAAGGTGAGCACAGGCGGGAACCCCACTGGGCTCCCAGAAGCCAGGCCACAGCTGCGGAGTGGGCCAGGAGAGGTCCCCAAACCCTACTCCTCTGTGCCCAGACCCATGGGGACTCCTGACTGCTGTGCCTTTGGGCTGTAGCCTGCAGGCTTGGAGCCAAGAGAGAGAAGCCAGACAAGGATCATAGAGGGAGGGAGTTGGAGAGGGCACATCTGCCCAAGGCATGACCAGGAATCAGGGTTCAAGCCTTTTCATGTCCCTCCACCAAGAGAAAGTGTAATCTACTCCCTGGAAATCCTAAGAATCTTGTATAAGCTTAGATCCCTGGTAGGTTGGGAAGAGAGACAGCTCCACCACCTGATCTCTGTGTGACTGTAACCAAGTTCACGCAAGTTCTCTGACCCTCAGTGCCCTGATATTCCAAGTGGATGGTGGAAAAAGTTAGATGGGATCATGCATTTAAAGAATTAGCCTAGAGAAATACCAGGGATTTAAGCCCATTAGCTCATTCACCCTCTCCAGTCCCACCATGACTTCTACCATCTCCATGTCCTTGGCCCTATGATTTCCTTTATGGGCTATCTGAGTCCAGGAGGTGCCTGCCTCAACCCAGAATCCCTAAGAAGCTCACTGTGGCCAGGTCCTGGAACAGGGCCAGCCCAAGACTAGGTTGATGTGGGATGTTGTCCTTGTTCAAAGCAGATTCCAAGAAAAAAATCACATATTCTTACCCAATGAGAACTGACAGTGAGAGGGAATGACAGGCACTAGGTTGGTCCTGGAGGCCTTGGACACCATTGCCTGGTGACCCCAGTCCCTTTACATGTCTTCTGCGGATGTTACAATCTAGCATCTTTCTCAGTTCTCAAACATGTCTTTGAAATTTTTTTGACTTTGTCTTTGCACACACACACACAATTTCTTTCTGGAATGCTCTTCCACACCTTATGTGCCTAGTAAACTCACAGTTTCAAAGGCAATATCCTCTCCCATTCCTTACTCTAGATGGGGAAGCCAAGGATCAGGGAGCATAAGGATCAGCCAGTGAGTGATCAAGAGGAAATTCAAGGTTGGGTCTATCTGCTCCCTGAGATTGTCCCCTTCAAGCTCACCTCATTGCCTGGGAAGCTCCTAGCTCTTATGTCAGCTCCTCCTCTCCCAGGCTCTCCCTGGCATTGCTCCACCACCCTTTGAGAAGGCATTTTGGAACTTAAAAGTCCTGATTTCAAGTCCCAACTCCTACTTACTAGCTGTATACTTTTGGCAAATTAGCTAGTGTCTTTGAGCCTCAGTTTCCTAAATGTTGATGGGGAGGACGGTATCCAGTAAATGATGTGAATATTTACTGGATCCACAAAAAGTGCTCAGCACCATGCCCAGCCATGTGGTAAGTGCTTAGCATCTGTCAGTGACTATGATTGTTCTAGTGTTAACCATGCCATACTTCATTGGTTTCCTTCTTCTCCATGAGATGGTAGAGGGCAGGATGTGTGTCTTAGAGCTTTCACTATCTCAGGGCCAGCCATCCTCATAGTGTTTGATGAACTGCCCTGACAGGTTGCTGAGCACAAAGAGGGGAGGTTGTTGAGGCTCCCTGCACCCCATGGCCCCTGGTTCTGACCCACTGTGGGCTTCTCCAGCCCCAATGCCAGCCCTCACCCTTCCTTTCAGCTCTCACTGGTCTCAGCCTCAATAGCCTGACCATCCTCTCTTTCTGCAAGACCCCGGAGCTGCGGTCTCCCAGCCACCTGCTGGTGCTGAGCTTGGCTCTGGCAGACAGTGGGATCAGCCTGAATGCCCTCGTTGCGGCCATATCCAGCCTCCTAAGGTACCAGCGCCCCTCCCCAGTCTCTGGGCTCTGGAGCCCAGCCTGGGGCCTGACCTCTGAGCCCTGAAGAACCACAGCCAATTTCTGGAACACAGGAGTTGCTCAAACCTGACCAACAAAACTGGCTGGCTGTAGGAAATAGGAGTGTAGGCCCTGTAACCATGCTGCTCTATAACCAGCTCTGAAATCTGGCTTCATTATTCCTATTGTTTCATTGTCTTCTGTAAATTTGATATTATTACCTAACTCACGTGAGGGTTAGAAGTACTGAGTTGTTATTATTCATGAGTAACTGAAAACAATGCTTGGCACCTAGGAAGCCCTAAATAAGTGTGAAAACAAACCAGGTTCTTTCAACACGCCCACAGAAGGTCTTTATAACGTTTTTCCAAGCAGGCTAAATGCTCCTAGCCCAGTTTAAGGCACTACAAATGGAGTCTGGAGCCCATCTGGGTGTGGGTACTCAGGCTGGCCCTTCAGTGGGGTCTGAATCAGTGAGGAGTCCTTGCCTCAATTTCCTGCCTCTGCCTGGAGTGAGGGAAGGGCAGCTGAAGGGTTTGCCCTTGCTTGGCCCAGGGGGCTGAGAGTCAGGAAGCCTACCCTGGGCTCCACCCTCTGACTTTGCTGTCATCAGCTGTACGACTGGCTCAGGGCCTTTTCCTCTTTGAGCCTCAGTTTCCCCATCTGTAGGACAAAGGCATGGGCTCTCCTCTCAGCTACGGTGCTCCATTTCCTGCGGTGGAGGCATTTGATGACATGGAGACCTTTTGGTCTAGCAGAGGTGCAGTGAGAGGTGCCGAGACTAGCCAGTTTGCATCTGGCTCCCCCTCTTCAGCCCAGTGACTTGAGCTTTAAGGCCCATTTCCTCCTAGGAAAAACAGATAATAAAGCCCTCTTCCAAGAAGCCTGGTTAACATTCAGAAGGTGCTCCCTAAACGGTTGTTGGGCACGTGTGGGAGGAGGGCAGGGGCGGAGAGGAGGAGTCACCGGGGCCCAGTGTCTCCCACAGGCGCTGGCCTTATGGCTCCAATGGCTGCCAGGCCCATGGCTTCCAGGGCTTTGTGACAGCTCTGGCCAGCATCTGCAGCAGCGCGGCCATTGCCTGGGGGCGTTACCACCACTACTGCACCCGTAAGTCTTTGGGCTCCCAGAATGGAGGGATATCTACACTGACAGTGATCAGTCTAGCACTAAATTTCCCAAGGCATATTGTCAAATATCTTCTTCATAACTGGCTATATCAGTACTACTTGCTCTGTTATTTGCTTTCAATTTTTTTCTTAAAAGTGATTTCACTTTTAAAAACCTAGACACCTGCTTTATTCTCATTTTAACCAATAACTGTAAGATCACAGCTTTAATGTTATGCTGTTATATTTTTAATACACAGTAAAATAAAAATTGTGTTCACCCATAGACGATCTAGAATCCTACCCACCAACAGCAGGTATGAACACACTTCAAGGAGCTGTGGCTCAGCTAACCCTCACCTCAAACTCCCAGCCTGCAGACTGGGAAGCCAAGACTCAGAGAAGTTAGGTAGCTTTTCCAGGGTCATACAGCTAGTATGGGAAGAGCTGAGATTGCTCATAGCCTTCTGTGAGAACAGGGGAGGGAGATGGAGGGTGCCTGAGCTCATCTACTCCATTAGTGAGTGACCCTGGGCATGGCACCTTGGTCATCTGTTTCCAAAGCTGAAAAGGCTGTTGCAACACATGGGTTAAGGTAGATATGAATTATTGTGCCCACAGATGGGGGGATGGTATCTTAGTCAACTAGGACTTCCATGACAAAATGCCATAGACTGGATGCTTAAACAACAGACATTTATTTCTCAGTATCTGGAGACCAGGGTACCAGCATTCTTGAGTTCTGGTGACGGCTCTCTTCCTAGCTTGCAGAGAGCTGCCTTCTTGCTGTGTCCTCTCATGGAGGAGACAGGGATCATTTCTCTTGCATAACTTCTTTTAAGAGCAAAAATCCCATCATGGGGACCCTGCCCTCATGACCTGATCACCTCCCAAAGACCCCATCCCCAAATACCATTACGTTGGGATTAGGGATTTGGCATATGAATTAGGGGGGCATAAACATTCAGTCCATAGCAGGGAGATACATCCAAGCAAATGCCATTTGGGGCTGTATCAATGGAAGCAACGTGTCAGGATGAGGAGATTGTATCCCTGCCCTTCTCTGTTGATGAAACCCTACCTGGAGTCCTGTTCTCTGCTCTGGGGTCTTGTCTACAAAGGAACATGACAAACCATAGGTAAATAAGGTACCCTGAAGGGCATTCTGAAGCCAAGTCCAGGAGGAACCACTGGAAAGACTGCCACAGAGAGGGGAATGGGGAAGGGACACAGAGGACATCATGTCAATGGGACTGGTCACATCAAAAGATGCTGTTGAGACCAAGCATGGAGGTGGGGTCCCAACCCCTGGGGTACCCTGGAAGCAGAGACAGTGGCCGGCTTCTGAGCAAGAGCTGAGGATGGTGGTAAGTCCAGACTGCTGCCTCTCTCCCACATGGCCCACACCCGAACCATTGCCCATGCCTCTTCTTAATGTGGCTTTGGGAAGCACACCTGTTTGCCACCCGCTACTTCTGTCTGTCCTCTAAAGAAAATGGTATAGAATGTTCAGTGACTATGATTGTTCTAGTGTTAACCATGCCATACTTCATTGGTTTCCTTCTTCTCCATGAGATGGTAGAGGGCAGGATGTGTGTCTTAGAGCTTTCACTATCTCAGGGCCAGCCATCCTCATAGTGTTTGATGAACTGCCCTGACAGGTTGCTGAGCACAAAGAGGGGAGGTTGTTGAGGCTCCCTGCACCCCATGGCTCCTGGTTCTGACCCACTGTGGGCTTCTCCAGCCCCAATGCCAGCCCTCACCCTTCCTTTCAGCTCTCACTGGTCTCAGCCTCAATAGCCTGACCATCCTCTCTTTCTGCAAGACCCCGGAGCTGCGGTCTCCCAGCCACCTGCTGGTGCTGAGCTTGGCTCTGGCAGACAGTGGGATCAGCCTGAATGCCCTCGTTGCGGCCATATCCAGCCTCCTAAGGTACCAGCGCCCCTCCCCAGTCTCTGGGCTCTGGAGCCCAGCCTGGGGCCTGACCTCTGAGCCCTGAAGAACCACAGCCAATTTCTGGAACACAGGAGTTGCTCAAACCTGACCAACAAAACTGGCTGGCTGTAGGAAATAGGAGTGTAGGCCCTGTAACCATGCTGCTCTATAACCAGCTCTGAAATCTGGCTTCATTATTCCTATTGTTTCATTGTCTTCTGTAAATTTGATATTATTACCTAACTCACGTGAGGGTTAGAAGTACTGAGTTGTTATTATTCATGAGTAACTGAAAACAATGCTTGGCACCTAGGAAGCCCTAAATAAGTGTGAAAACAAACCAGGTTCTTTCAACACGCCCACAGAAGGTCTTTATAACGTTGTTTTTCCAAGCAGGCTAAATGCTCCTAGTCCAGTTTAAGGCACTACAAATGGAGTCTGGAGCCCACCTGGGTGTGGGTACTCAGGCTGGCCCTTCAGTGGGGTCTGAATCAGTGAGGAGTCCTTGCCTCAATTTCCTGCCTCTGCCTGGAGTGAGGGAAGGGCAGCTGAAGGGTTTGCCCTTGCTTGGCCCAGGGGGCTGAGAGTCAGGAAGCCTACCCTGGGCTCCACCCTCTGACTTTGCTGTCATCAGCTGTACGACTGGCTCAGGGCCTTTTCCTCTTTGAGCCTCAGTTTCCCCATCTGTAGGACAAAGGCATGGGCTCTCCTCTCAGCTACGGTGCTCCATTTCCTGCGGTGGAGGCATTTGATGACATGGAGACCTTTTGGTCTAGCCGAGGTGCAGTGAGAGGTGCCGAGACTAGCCAGTTTGCATCTGGCTCCCCCTCTTCAGCCCAGTGACTTGAGCTTTAAGGCCCATTTCCTCCTAGGAAAAACAGATAATAAAGCCCTCTTCCAAGAAGCCTGGTTAACATTCAGAAGGTGCTCCCTAAACGGTTGTTGGGCACGTGTGGGAGGAGGGCAGGGGCAGAGAGGAGGAGTCACCGGGGCCCAGTGTCTCCCACAGGCGCTGGCCTTATGGCTCCAATGGCTGCCAGGCCCATGGCTTCCAGGGCTTTGTGACAGCTCTGGCCAGCATCTGCAGCAGCGCGGCCATTGCCTGGGGGCGTTACCACCACTACTGCACCCGTAAGTCTTTGGGCTCCCAGAATGGAGGGATATCTACACTGACAGTGATCAGTCTAGCACTAAATTTCCCAAGGCATATTGTCAAATATCTTCTTCATAACTGGCTATATCAGTACTACTTGCTCTGTTATTTGCTTTCAATTTTTTTCTTAAAAGTGATTTCACTTTTAAAAACCTAGACACCTGCTTTATTCTCATTTTAACCAATAACTGTAAGATCACAGCTTTAATGTTATGCTGTTATATTTTTAATACACAGTAAAATAAAAATTGTGTTCACCCATAGACGATCTAGAATCCTACCCACCAACAGCAGGTATGAACACACTTCAAGGAGCTGTGGCTCAGCTAACCCTCACCTCAAACTCCCAGCCTGCAGACTGGGAAGCCAAGACTCAGAGAAGTTAGGTAGCTTTTCCAGGGTCATACAGCTAGTATGGGAAGAGCTGAGATTGCTCATAGCCTTCTGTGAGAACAGGGGAGGGAGATGGAGGGTGCCTGAGCTCATCTACTCCATTAGTGAGTGACCCTGGGCATGGCACCTTGGTCATCTGTTTCCAAAGCTGAAAAGGCTGTTGCAACACATGGGTTAAGGTAGATATGAATTATTGTGCCCACAGATGGGGGGATGGTATCTTAGTCAACTAGGACTTCCATGACAAAATGCCATAGACTGGATGCTTAAACAACAGACATTTATTTCTCAGTATCTGGAGACCAGGGTACCAGCATTCTTGAGTTCTGGTGAGGGCTCTCTTCCTAGCTTGCAGAGAGCTGCCTTCTTGCTGTGTCCTCTCATGGAGGAGACAGGGATCATTTCTCTTGCATAACTTCTTTTAAGAGCAAAAATCCCATCATGGGGACCCTGCCCTCATGACCTGATCACCTCCCAAAGACCCCATCCCCAAATACCATTACGCTGGGATTAGGGATTTGGCATATGAATTAGGGGGGCATAAACATTCAGTCCATAGCAGGGAGATACATCCAAGCAAATGCCATTTGGGGCTGTATCAATGGAAGCAACGTGTCAGGATGAGGAGATTGTATCCCTGCCCTTCTCTGTTGATGAAACCCTACCTGGAGTCCTGTTCTCTGCTCTGGGGTCTTGTCTACAAAGGAACATGACAAACCATAGGTAAATAAGGTACCCTGAAGGGCATTCTGAAGCCAAGTCCAGGAGGAACCACTGGAAAGACTGCCACAGAGAGGGGAATGGGGAAGGGACACAGAGGACATCATGTCAATGGGACTGGTCACATCAAAAGATGCTGTTGAGACCAAGCATGGAGGTGGGGTCCCAACCCCTGGGGTACCCTGGAAGCAGAGACAGTGGCCGGCTTCTGAGCAAGAGCTGAGGATGGTGGTAAGTCCAGACTGCTGCCTCTCTCCCACATGGCCCACACCCGAACCATTGCCCATGCCTCTTCTTAATGTGGCTTTGGGAAGCACACCTGTTTGCCACCCGCTACTTCTGTCTGTCCTCTAAAGAAAATGGTATAGAATGTGTGCTCAGAGATGGTCACTATCCATTATCTCTTTTATTCTTCAAAAAATATCTTCTGAGGCAGGGATTACCATTCCCATTTTGTGGAGGAGAAAAATGAGGCTCAGAGAGACTCTTGATTTGCCTGAAGCACTAAGCTCTTAACCATCAGAGCCAGGATTTAGGGACAATCTGTGTGACCAGGAAATCCATTCTTTTTCACTCTGTGTAAACATCTCCTCCTCTCAACCACCCTCCTCCTCTGTCCTACACAGGCAGCCAGCTGGCATGGAACACGGCTCTCTCCGTGGTGCTCTGTGTGTGGCTGTCTTCTGCCTTCTGGGCAGCACTGCCCCTCCTGGGCTGGGGCCACTATGACTATGAGCCACTGGGGATGTGCTGTACGCTGGACTACTCCAGGGGGGACAGGTGAGGTGGGAGGAACAGCTGCAGGTCTCCCTTCAGTGGGAATCTCTGCTTTGAGCCATTACGACAGCAATGACCCGGCTGAAAATCCCAATCTTGGTTACTGGGTCATGATACCCATTGCAAGTCAACAGTGGGAGTGGGGAAAGCCCATTCTGAAGACTGGCCAAGTTTTGGGAATGTTATGCAAAGTGGGGCACAAAGCTGGGTCTAAGAAGAGCATCATCATAACCACTGGGACGGTTGTGACAGCTGCTGAACCCGTGACCCCTTAGCCATCTTCAGCATGGTCAGCTCCCAGCTCTGACTTTATCAGTTTCTAGAGGGAGCCACGTCCTTTGTTTAATAGAGTCCGAGAATGTTAAGGTCTTTCCATTAGGAGGGGCCTCCTTGGCAGAGTTCAGTTCTCTGAATCCCCTGAGCATCTGCCATGAGCCAAGCCCTGGGCCAAGTCCTGAAGAGACAAAATTGAATGCATGGTGCCCCCATGCATGTCTAGGACTAGGGAAACCAAGGCTTAGGAAGACCCTGTCGGGGCAGAGTTGGGGAGGAGTCTCATGGGCTCAGCGCTCCTCTTGCTTCCAGTGGAGCCATGTTGCATTCATCTGCTTTCCACGGTTACTCATAAAGCATCTGCCCTGGTGACAGGCCTCCCAGGAGAAACCCATCTGAGAGCGCTGTGTCTGGTGCAGGTGTCCCTCCAGGGCATCCCCTGCAGGTTTCCCCCACTAGTGTCCAGTCCTTCTGGCAGTCCTTCCTTTACCTGTCCTTAGTGCCCAGCAGCAAGGTGACATGGTCTCCCCTTCACGGAATGGTAGTCTGCCTCCCTGGGACTCCCGCCTGCTTTGGATCAACCCTCCAGCCTCCCTGTGACCCTCCCGAGGACCCAGGCTCTTCTGTAGTCCCTTTGGTGATGTCTTCAGTGACACAGTGTCCAGAGTCTTTGCCATCTACAGGCCCCTTTCAAATCCCTGTGCCAGGAGCACTCCTTGAATGATCCTTCCTCTTGGTCTAGTGACATATCCTCCATTTGGTAAATGCATCTCCCAAATGGAAGTGTGTCATTCTCCAATCTTGGGGCACTCTGAGAGCAGGACCGAGCCCCTGAACTGCCGACTGCAAGTGGCAGGAGGACTCTCCCTCACCTCAGATCCCAAGTTCGGGGAGGACTTAGTGGCTCCCTGGCTCTGAGGGCAGTCCAGCTGGGGACCAGGGGCAAACAGCCCTTGTCTGCTGGGAGCAGGACCCCACATTGGAGTGTTTAGAACAAGGGTGACAGGTGTCTGAGGGCAGCTGACCATCACTGAGAGGCCATCCTTACCCTCTCCCCACTCTGCCTGCAGAAACTTCACCAGCTTCCTCCTCACCCTGGCCTCCTTCAACTTCCTTGCACCCCTTTTCATCACAGTCACCTCCTATCGTCTCATGGAGCAGAAGCTCAGGAAGGCTGGCCATCTCCAGGTAAGGACGTGCTCCTAGAGCAGGAGACATCTCTCTATCCCTCTCAGAAGCACCTGGGAACAAGAATAATGTGACCATCAAGAGGAAATCCAGCTTTTGTGGAGCTTAGGGTAGGAGCATACCCTCTACATTGCTGGGGACCCCCAAGACCTGGGAGGAAGTGTCAGGACCGCTCAGACTTACCCAGACCCGGGAACCCTGAGAGTGAGGGCACCCTGCTGACACCATCCACTTCACTCTTCCCAAGAGTTTGAGGGCTGGCACGAAGTTACATGCTTTTTAAATGCTGCATTAAAATTTTAATTTAATCACAGGGATAGGCTGTTACCCACAACATAAAATCATATCTGCAGGCCCATTTGTCCAAGAAAAACAGTCCTCCTAGCCATTTCTGAATTTTGGCATTAATAGTTTCTTTCCACAATTTCTTTCTTTTGTCACCTGGACATCTCTAGCAGAGGAATCAGCCAAAGGTTTATAAAAAATAGTGTTATTACTGTCTGTGCATTTTGTCATTTCATCTTTACAATTATTCTCTGGAAAAGAAGGATTATTGTCCCTATGTCACAGATTAGAAAATGGAGGCTGTAGCCAAAAACTACTCAACTAGTAATAACAGAGTTGGATCAAATCCAGGTCTGGGACTCCATGACCCAAGCAGCTAATCATAGTGCAAAAAAAACATTCTCTTTGCTGAGACACTTTATCTCCACATTATTTATTTTTTTGGTGAATTGGAAAAGGACAATTCACCAAATCAGTTTTAGCTGGAAACAGACCCAGGCTCCCCTGAGTCCTGCTCTGGGATCAGAATTCAGTCTTCAGGCTCAGGCTCTGTGTCATTGCCTCCCGGGTGTCCTCTGCACTGCCCCCAAGCCCTGCCTGGATGCTCAAAGTTACCACGTTTATTGGAGGTTCAATCAGCCAGGAAACGAGGCTGCCACACTGATTTGCTGTTTTCCCAGGGTGACTTTAAACCATCAGTTCTGGTAGCATCCTCAGAGGTCTCTGTGCGCGGGCAGGGACTGCCACTGCAGCTGAGCAGTTTTGTTGTTAACCACAGCTCTGCCTGCGGAGGCCCTCCGTCAGTACTTGGCACGATTTCTTCCTTTCTTTCTTTTCTCTTTTTTTGGAATGAGGGGCAATTCAGGAGAAAAGAATTCTCCCAGTCAACACATTTTTCAAGTCCAAAATTCAAAATGCCATGAAGAAAATGTGTCTTCCTCTTGACTTAAGTCACCTTTTCTGTTATAGTGAGGTTTGGTCAATGAGAAAAGAGGTGCTGATTTTTAGCTTCAGGCTTTTAACA